TGGCTAGCTCCAAAACAGCCGAGGCAGCTGTCCCTGTCACAGAGAGAGGAGACTGTGTGACGGTGTGTGTCTGTCTGCCTGAATGTGGGGGCACATGTGTGGGAGAGAGTGTGTGTTTGTATGCCTCTAGCTCCAAGTCCAAGTGCTTATTTTGTCTGAGTGGGGGCCTGTATTTGTCTGCATGTGTGTCTGTCTGTCTTTGAGAACACACAGCCTGAACTCTGCTTTCTCAGTCTCGTCTTTTATTCTGGCCCTTATCTTTCCTCACCCTGCCTCCCTCTGCTGAAATAAAGGGTGAAACCAAGACACAGGTATGGAATGCTGGGGGAAGGGGGAGTTTGGAAAATGGGAAGTCTGGAGCCAAAGCAGACTGGAAGGATGAATGGCAATGGTGGAATTCAGCTTTTCCTACAGGCAAACCCAACTGTCCTTCTTTTCCCAGCTCTGCATTGCTCCTGTGGGCCTCTGGAGAAGTCAGGGGTGTGGTTTGCAATTTTGAGGGCATCTTAGGGTATGAACAGATTTCACGGCACCCCTTTTTCCACCTGTCAATTCTAAGCCTCCACAGCTACTTGGGAAGAGCTACTAGTCTAGGCTGCTCCAGGTCCCTCCCAAGGGCCTCTCCCTTCTATCGGAGCATCATCGGCCCAGTCCTATGCCTCTGACTCTGTCCTCAGACCTGGAAGGGGAGGGAAGCTGAGCACTCCCATCCCTGGCCTAACTTCTCTCCTTCCTTCCTGGGGTTCCCTTCAGCCCTGCTTCTCCAACCCTAGGAAAGTGTCCAAGGTCTAGTCCTCTCTGCCTGTGGAAAGAACAGGGACTGTTTCTCAGCCTCTTGCCTTGACCTCTGTCCCACTCAAACTAGCTTGGGGGGGGGGGGCAGCTGTCATGTCTGAGCTGGTTGAAGGGGGCATTACCATGTGCAAATACAGGCCACTGCCCATCTGCGCCTCTCTGAGAAAGGCTCCTAATCAATTCAGAGCAGCCAAGTGACACACATCTCTATCTAGGCTAATCCGCCACATTAATGCCACCTTGCACACCCTGCATTAAGTCCCTCTTAATGGGGAGGCAGACGGGCTCCTCCTACATAGCTCTTCACCCCTGCTCCTTGGTCCTTAGCTTCCATTGGTTCTCCTCTGACCAAGAGGCATCTGGAGTCTTGAACCCCACTAGTGCCCCTTCCCCTTCCTCCCACCAGAGGGGGCCTGGAAGAGCTAGCAGGAAAGGGGACCCTGCAGGGGGAGACTTGGAGGAGGACCCAGACAGGCTCCTGGGTAATGTCAGGTGAGATTCGGCATGGGGAGTAATAGTCAGAAGTGGCTTTTAAGAAACCTACACCCACAGCCTGAGGTGGGACTGCAGGAGGGCATGGGAGAGAGTGGTGACTTGTGGGATGCAATGTTCAGAAGCAGACAAGATTCTTAAACTTGTTTTTGAACCTAGAACCCTTTCTTCAAAAGAAGTCTCTCCAGAAAGCATAAATAAAACAGAGAAAAGCAGGGCTGCCCTAATTGAAGCTGACCTGAGTAAGATCAGGCTAGATTTCTACCCCTGAGGTTAGCCCTGAGTTCCAGTCCCTGAGGGAGTTTGCGGGGCAGGGGGGACCCCAAAGAACACAGTTTGAAAAAGCAAACAAAAACATATCTTAGGAATCTCACAGACCTGATTTAGATCATACCTCCACTACTTACAAACTTTGTGATCTTCATCATTACTTCATGTCTCAGTTTCCACGCCTAAAAAAGGGTGATCCTACCTAACATTGATCCATTCTTGTGAGGAGAGATAATGAGGTGAAGGCACATAGTCAGTACTCATAAATGATAGCAGCGATTCTCCTTACAGGGAAAGCATCAGGCCTGGTTCAAAATAAAATCCGTCCCACGGAAGAGTGAATAACACAGGTTCAGACTGGTTGAGAAGCACGTTTGAGTTTATGAGGATATTGGGCATTCGTGTGAGAGGGAATTTAATTTTTAAAGAATGTGGTATGTGGTATGCAATGTGCAATAGTGTGGTTTTCATTAATTCAATGATTATCTATTGAACACCAACTGTGCGCCAGGCAGGGTTCTAGGTGCCCAGCATGGAACAAATCAAAGTCTAGTGTGTATAACTGTGTATGAAACCTCTGAGTATGCACCTTTCTCCACTTACGCTGCTGTTTCCCCATTCTAACCTAGGGCATCTCAGATTAAAGAGGTAGCTTTATGTCGGTGGCAGAGAAAGGGGAAGATGGGGAAACACTTCTGTACTGGGAACCAGATAACCTGGAGATTTTATTCCCATTAACCTGGTCTGGGTCTTCTCTTACCTTCAGAGTTCTCGAGCCCCCGATGGAGTTCGGCCTGCTGAGCGAGGCAGAGGCCAGGAGCCCGGCCCTCTCGCTGTCAGATGCGGGCACTCCCCACCCCCCACTCCCCGAACACGGCTGCAAGGGCCAAGAGCACAGCGGTGAGCGCGCCCCCTTCTGGGGGTGGGGGAAATAAAAGCTCCATCCCTAACCGGGTGGGACCCGGGAGTGGGAGCCCGGGTGCGAGTGAGGGAGGGCCCCACGCAGGAAGTCCTCGCAGTCAGGGAATCCGCGCAGGCAAGGATATGCTGTGACAGCCCCCACCCTGGCTCCCAGATTCGGAGAAGGCCTCGGTTTCGCTGCCCGGCGGCTCCCCCGAAGACGGCTCGCTGAAGAAGAAGCAGCGGCGGCAGCGCACGCACTTCACCAGCCAGCAGCTGCAGGAGCTGGAGGCGACCTTTCAGAGGAATCGCTACCCCGACATGAGTACGCGCGAAGAGATCGCCGTGTGGACCAACCTCACCGAGGCCCGCGTGCGGGTACGCAACCCCGCAGGTGCCCTCCACCACCACCCTCCCCTCCATTTCGGGCCTCCCTCTCGCGGGCCGCTCAGCAAGCAGCTTCGGAAACGGCAGCCTGTAGTTCTGCCCTGCCTGCCCCTTCCTCCGACCCAAAACCCGACGTCCCTCGCCCAGGCCCGCTGCCCCCACGGCTTTCTTTCCATCAACCTCCAATCTCTTATCTTCCTCCACCCTCTCACCCTAGACGGAGCGCTTCTTCTCCCCTGGCACTATCTCTGGTTCTTCTCTTCACCTCTCCTAGACCCCCTCCTGCTGCCCTCGCCACCTCCCCAATACTGTCACCCCTGACTCCCGCATGCGCTCCTCCCCCAGCCCGTGCCCTTGCTCCACCACCCATTCTCGTCTCCAGTCACCTCATCTCCTTTATATTCCGCCCGGCCCCGGACCCCGCTTGGACCCCCACCTGGGCGACCGGTCCACCAGCCGCCTTGGGGGTCCGGGCCCTGACGACCTTCCTCCCACGCCCGCAGGTGTGGTTCAAGAACCGGCGCGCCAAGTGGAGAAAGCGCGAGCGCAGCCAGCAGGCGGAGTTGTGCAAGGGCGGCTTCGCGGCGCCGCTCGGGGGGCTGGTGCCACCCTACGAGGAGGTGTACCCCGGCTACTCGTACGGCAACTGGCCACCCAAGGCCCTCGGCCCGCCGCTCGCCGCCAAGACCTTCCCGTTCGCCTTCAACTCGGTCAACGTGGGGCCTCTGGCTTCACAGCCCGTCTTCTCGCCACCCAGCTCCATTTCCGCCTCCATGGTGCCCTCGGCCGCGACCGCCCCAGGCACCGTGCCTGGGCCCGGGGCTTTGCAGGGCCTAGGCGGGGGGCCCCCCGGGCTGGCTCCGGCCGCGGTGTCCTCGGGGGCCGTGTCCTGCCCTTACGCCTCGGCCGCAGCCGCAGCCGCCGCCGCCGCCTCCTCCCCCTACGTATATCGGGACCCGTGTAACTCGAGTTTGGCCAGCCTGAGGCTCAAGGCCAAACAGCACGCCTCTTTCAGCTATCCCACCGTGCCGGGGCCGCCGCCGGCCGCCAACCTCAGTCCGTGCCAGTACGCTGTGGAACGGCCCGTCTGAAGGGCGCTGCCCGTCGATCATCCCTGAGGGTGGGGCGGTAATGCACGGCCTCGACGGACTGGGGTCGTTTTGACTGGCTTGCCCCCACCCTCGGGGTCTGAGAGGAGAGCTGGGCAGTCGGGCTTGGGGAGGCGGCCGGCTCAGGAGAGAGCCTGCCCCCACTCCCAGGCTTGAGGGGTGGACTGGGCCGTTAGTCCGAGACCCTGGGACTAAGGCCAGGAACAGGGACCAGTTCCCCAGGGGCCAATTCACCTTTGGCCCACCTCGCCTTCTCCAGAATCCCTCTCCCTGGTTTTCAAAGATAAATGAAATAAATGTGCGCGGACTGTCAGAGGCCTGGTGATTCAGAATTGCGGTTGAGCTCCCTCCCCTCATCCTTCCCCATTTTTAAAGGAGAGCTGGGTTTACAGGAAAGATGTGCGGGTCCAGGCTTCTAGAGCTTCAACCCCAGGATGGAGAAGCCTGGGGATTCCCGAAGCCAAGCGGCGCACGAAGCGTGCGTGTCTGTGTAGATGTGTGTGGCTTGGACAAAGCTGGTACTGCCGCGCCGCCTCGTGGTCTCATGGAGGATAACTGGAAGGTCAGCTTTGAAGTCAAGTGTCAACTCTGCAACTTAGGAAGCCTACGACTTTAGAAACTTACTCCACCTTTGAGCATCTGTTTCTCACTGTTCCTACCAGGGGCTTTTGCCTCTAACAGCAATAAAATTCTGGTCTGTAACAGACATTTATTAAGTGCCTACCAGGCCTAGGATTCTTTTGAGTGTCTCTGTGTGTGACTCTCAGCCTTCCACACACTGTTGTAAGCTTCTCACCCACTGATCATCCCACTGCCAGCAGCCCTCCTCCATCACAGCAGTCCCCTCCTTCCCGTAAATCCCCAAACTCTGAAAACCCTGTTGGAATCTTTAATTAAAAAACAGAGCGGCGAGAGGGTCGAATCGGGCTGGGCTCCGCGCCGCTGGGAGGAGCTGTCTGTCTGCAGCCCCCTCCTCCCGCCCTCGTCCCGCCCTCCTCGCGGAGCCGGGCGGTGCTGGGGAAAAAACAAACAAACAAACAAACAGAGCAAGAAGGAGAAAGATTTCTGGAAACATAAATAACTCAGTTCGGGGGAGCCTCCTTAGTCCCACCCCATCACAGGGCCTGCTTGGTCTTCACATTAACAACAGAAACATCAAAGTACTAAATCAGATCACATCCCCACCCCAGGGGTGATACTACTTGACTGTCATCACCTCCTGCCACCTTGGAGTTTACATCCCATGTGGAAACCATACAGGAAAGGTTTCCTAATCATTCCCTCAAACCTAAGCTCAGTCCCTCAGTCCCCTGGGGAGGAGAGAGGACTTAGGGTTTCTTCTCTTTCTCCAACAGTTCACTGGCTCTTGGTCTTGGCTTTGATCTTGGGCATAATGTAGTTTTGGTGGAAGAACTTGGCAAAGAGGACGAAATAGGTTGCATACAAGATGAAGGACCAGAAGAGGTGTTCCTTTGTGGTATGACATCCCTTTTCCTGTCTCCAGATGTAAGCCAGGATACTGACAATGGCTCCTATAAACATCTGCAGGATCTGCAGGCTGGTGACGAGCATGGGAAACCATCTGGGGCACTTCACTTTGGCAGCCTTCATAGTGTAGTAGGTGTACATGATGGCATGTACACCAAAGTTCATGGTCATGAACCAGCCGCCTGCAGCCACCCTGTTCTTGTACCCGAAGCTGGAGTACACCAGCACCGTGCTGTGGTGGTACCAGTGCACAAAGATGAGCGGCCGTTTCCGCAGGATGATGAAGGCCGTGTCTCCTGGGAGATGAAGAGTCATAGCTGACACATCAACTAGTGTTGGGACCACCCTCTGAACTAGTGTTGGGGCACATGGGGAATTTTCAGGACAGGCAGAGGGGTCTTTATGGCAGAGAATCTGAAGAGGGGCTTGGGTGAGAAGTGTTTTTAGGACCCAGGGGCGGGGAAGGAACTCTCCATGTGATGGGTCAAGGGGAGGGCCTGAAGAGGGATACAATTGACTGGACACCAGAGAGACAAAGCCTTGCCACTCACCAAGTTCAACGACCTTGCTGAGAACAAACAGGAAGGACCAGAATTGGATTATGGGAGTGTTGATGAAGGAGGAGAAGCATACAGTTTGCTTTGGGCTCCCCTTAAGCATCAGGGTCCCCATGTAGCCCCACATCCTCAGTGTCCCGAGGATACTGAAATGGAACAAAGGAAAAGGGTGTAAGGGTCATTCCCAGGCACCTTCACCCTTGGCCTGGTCAAGTCACTGATCCAAGTTCCACCACCTCCCCACCCTTCCAAAGGGGTTATAGCTTCTGAGCTCCCAAGGCCAACCTGGTAGAGCCAACCAGTAATCTAGAAGATACAAGACATGAGGGCTGGGGAGGGACCAGGGAGTGCTAGAGCATGAGACTGAAAACTGAGCTAGGGAATAGGGTTCATAGGATGGGTAGGAGCCTGGAAGGAGGGGGTGATCAAAGGAGTTTGGGGGGAATATGGGAAGAAGGGGCTGGGGAAGTTATTGGAAGGTCTTGGGAGAGAGTGTTAGATGCAGAGAGTATTAGAGGCTGGGGAAATTGTTGGAAGTATCCAGACTCAATGAGCACTAAAGGTCTCATGAGAGAGAGCAGAGACTACTAGTCTAGGAACTGGAGAAGGAAAACAGGAGAGTGGAACCTGGGGAGAGGAGTCAGAGCTGAGAGAACAGAACAGGGAGAGTTAGGGGGCAATTTGGGCAGTTGATGCAATTGAGGTTTTTAGAAAGCTTTTAGGTATAGAATGAGGGTCTGGGGTCTATAAGATAGGTTGGAGTGGGGAGAGTCTTACCTGAAGACTGCAAGGCAGAAGGACCAAAGGATGAGAGGTCCCTGCAGGTTGAAGCCCTTCCGTGCCTTCATGTAGTTTTGCCCCACGAATATGACCAGCAGGTAGATCAGAGCTATGGCGAATGAGGTTGCCCTGGCAGGCAGGAGGCAGAGCAGATGGGCTTATGGGTGGGAACTGGTTAGAGGAATGTCCACTCATATCTCCAGGTCAGTGCTCTGGATTGGAATCCTACTTCTGCCACTTACTAGCTGTGTGACATTGGAAAACCTACTTCCTTCTCTGAGCATCAGTTTCCTTATTTGTAAGGGGGGAGTAACACTCCTCTCCTGACAGTGTTAATATATGTAAAGTACTTTACACAGGGCAGCAGCTATAACCAAGGTTCCTGGGGTTGGGAGTGGGTGACAGCTGCTGGTCCATTTCTAGAAGCAACCCAAGGCTGTGATGTACAAAGAATGTGGCAACAACTTCTGCCTAGTTGGTCATGGCAAATTGGCTGGAGCTCTGAGGGGCTCTAGGGCAAATTCTGAGGAAATTTTGGAAGGGTACCCAGATTTTCCCTCCTCCAGCAGGGATGATGGAACATTTGATGAAAAGATGATAACTGTGAAGGGCAGTCCTCAGGCATCAGCATATGCACGCATACGAACACATGTAGCCACAAAGGATGGAGAGTCGTCTCTAAGGAGTAGGAGTTCAGATCAACCCCATTCTTCAGAGACCACTTCTCACTACACCTTTTCCCCCTTGGTTTCTGTCTCCTCCCAAATTCTTCATCCCGTCCTCTTATTTCTGCCTTTCTTCCAGACCTAACCTCTTTGAGGTGCCACACTACCTGTACCTTGGACAACAGAGACGTGAAGCCAGTACTGGGGGATCCAATATCTTTGCTCCTTAGCAAAATCTCTGTGGGCTTTCTGTCTCGCCCTCCCCATTACCACCAATACCCCCAAATAGCGGTCCTCAGAGTTGGGCCCCTAACATGGCCCTTCCGCTTCTACAGGTCTCACCAGTACTCCTCCAAATAGGGCCTCATGTCCCGGCACAGTTCGAAGTTGTAGGGCTGGAACATCTGCTCTATTTCATCTGAGGTATTCATGGTTGTGACCATTTCGTTCTGCAGACGCTGAGGTCGGGAGCTGGACGAGAGCTAGGGGACGGAGGATTGAGAGAACCTTGGGGACAGGACTGACTAGACCCAGCACCCAAGGAACTCCGCGGCAAGCCAGAGCCTCAGACGCAGGCACGTGCGCTGCAGTCCAGCCGGCTTCCACGGCCGCGGCCACTGCAGTATATAACGCGAAATTGCAAAGCCGCTGTCCTAGGCGCGCCGCGGCCCCCTCCCTGCTCCCGGCCTTCATCCAATCGCGACAAAGATAAGCCCCTGTCCCGCCCCTGGGCTGCAAGCCGCTCTCTGATTGGTCATTCTTTAGGGAAACGCCCCAGAAGCCTCCCACTATCTTACGCATTCGCCACGCCCACCTCCCCATCATTTTTCTCGCGCAACACCTCGCCTCTGACCTGCTTAGTTTAGCCTCTGTGGTTTTGGAGTTACTGGGATGTGACAGGCTTCTCCTGGCACTGCCAACTATAACCTTTGCCTCCGTTGGTTTCAGTTCTGATCTATCTGGCTATGAGGAGAGAATGAAGGTGTCCTCCGTTTCTCTGGTGCCCCCATTCGGAGATAGGGTGTCTGTTTCTCCCCTCCCCAAGACCCTGGGAAAACCAGGCTAGGGATGACGATGGGTCAGGCAGGGGAAGGGGCAGCAAAGAGCCCTTCCCGTAGTCCCCTCTGCTTCCTTCTGGTCTGCAGTTGTAAGTGGGAGGGAGATGAATTGTAACAAGTTTTATTGTTGAGGTAGTTGGTGTTGATGTTTGGAGAGTTGGTTGTTGAGGCTGGTTGTTTCTTTATAGTTTCCTGAATTCCTGCCGGTTCCAGCCTGATACTCAGTAATAACCCTGGGAAGGAAGTGGGATCACCCTCTGGGCTTCTGGGATTATTGTCTTCAGGCTTCCTGGAGACTGCCAGGGGTTTATAGAAGAGGAGGTGCTGCGCATCTCTCAGTATCCTGCGATTCTTTCCTAGTCTGTGCTTATCTAATCAAATCTACTTTTTCCTTGCCTGTGTACCCAGTTCAGTTCAGTTCAGTCGCTCAGTCGTGTCCGACTCTTTGTGACCCCATGAATCGCAGCATGCCAGGCCTCCCTGTCCATCACCAACTCCCGGAGTTTACTCAAACTCAAGTCCATCGAGTCGGTGATGCCATCCAGCCATCTCATATTGGGCACCTACCAAACTGGGGAGTTCCTCTTTCACTATCCTATCATTTTGCCTTTTCATACTGTTCATAGGGTTCTCAAGGCAAGAATACTGAAGTGGTTTGCCATTCCCTTCTCCAGTGGACCACATTCTGTCAGACCTCTCCACCATGACCCGTCCATCTTGGGTGGCCCCACACGGCATGGCTTAGTTTCATTGAGTTAGACAAGGCTGTGGTCCGTGTGATCAGATTGGCTAGTTTTCTGTGATTATGGTTTCAGTGTATCTGCCCTCTGATGCCCTAATAATATGGAACACTTCACGAATTTGCGTGTCATCCTTGTGCAGGGGCCGTGCTAATCTTCTCTGTATTGTTCCAATTTTAGTATATGTGCTGCCGAAGCGAGCACGCCTGTGTACCCAGCCCCAAATAAATAAACATTAAAAAAACTTTAAGACTTTACTCATCTGTCCCTTATTTCTGTCCTAGAATTTATGAAAATAAGGGGGAAATACAAGACTTGAAGGCAGTTTGAGACATGATGGAGATATGCAAAGCAAATGCTAAGAGAAATAAATACAAAATATTAAAAATCATGAAGTGGCTATAAATGGTTATGTGCAGTAAGCCCACAGGCTCTGTAGCCAGAGGACCTAGGTAGGAATTCCAGTTTCACTTCTCAGCTACGGTCTGAGCCAAGGGTGAGTGGGAAGTCCTGCCATACTAGCTCAATGACTTCCAAGTATTTCCCTTTGTCTCTGTTTTGTGTCCTCTCTCACCTGGTTACTACAGCCAGCACCTCTTCATAATTAGTTGACACTTCCTTCTCTAATATAGCACTTTCTATTGCATTAGAGAAAAAAAACAAAAAACAGTACCCAAACCTGGCATATCACCAACCACAGAGCCACTGACCCAGTGCGTGCATGTATGCTAAGTCACTTCAGTCATGTCTGACTCTGTGCAACCCCATGGACTACAGACTGCCAGGCTCCTGTGTAATGGGATTCTCCAGGCAAGAATAGTAGTAAGTTGCCATACCCTCCTCCAGGGGAGCTTCACAACCCAGGGATCAAACCCTAATCTCTTAGATCTCCTGCATTGGTAGGTGAGTTATTTACCACTAGCACCATGTGGAAGACCCCTCTGACCCAGTGTGGTCTCAAACCATACTTTGAAAACCACTTCCTTCTGTCCTCTCATCCAAAATAAGGTTCTAAAACCTAAATTGGATCATGCTACTTTCCTGCTTAAAACCTTTTGTGGTTCTGGATTGCTTCACACATAGCCTGATACTCAGAAGGTGATCAATGCATATTTGATGGATTAATGAACAAATAAAAGAATGAGCATTGCAAGAATAATTCTACCTACGGACTTCCCTGACAAGCCAGTGGTTAAGACTCTGCACTCCCAATGCAGGGAGAGCAGGCTGGTTAGGAACTAAGAACCCACATGCTGCACATGCAGCCAAAAAATTAAATTAAAAAAAAATAAAAGGAACATAGGTGTGACCACCTGTTGAGATCTTTACTAATTAAAAAAGAAACTTCTTAAAAAAGAAAAGAATTCTACGTAGGTGTTACAAGACCTGGATTAAAATGCCTGTCCATTATTAACTAGCCCTGTGATTTTAGGCAAGTTACCTAACCTGAGACTCACATTCTTCATCAATAAAATGTTGAGAGTCAGACTTGCCTGCCTGCCTCACAAGGTTGGGGTCAGTATACAAGTCAGATAACATCAATGGAAGGATACTGTTTGGAGTTCTCTCATAGTCCAGTGGTTAAGAATCTGCCTTCCAACACACGGGATGAGGTTTGATCCCTAGTCAGGGATCTAAGATCCCACATACCTTATGGCAGCTAAGCCCAAGTGCTGCAATGAGAAAGCTAGTGAACCACAATGAAGACTCAGTGCAGCCAAAATAAAATAAATGAGTAAATAAATAAAATGAAATTTAACATTTTTTAAAAAGAAGGGATACTGGGGACTAGATACAAGGAAATGTCAGGGTGAATCATTTGGAGAGGTTTACAAATGCATGCAGAATATGTATATTCAGTTCTGGGTTTCTCTCAAATATTTTACATTGCATTTATCTGTGAAGTTTAATGGCGAGGCTTGAGGGAAAGGTGTGTGTAAGAGCAAACGAAGAAAAACCTCCAGAAATTATTTCCTAAGGGAAACCTTCCCTGACCTTTGGAGTTTGTCTGCTACCCCTGTTACATATAAATTGCTCTCATAGCATGGCATTTCTTTCTTTCAATTGAAGTCACTCTGTCCTGTCCGACCCTTTGAGACCACATGGACTATAGCCTACCAAGCTCCTCTGTCCATTGGATTTTCCAGGCAAGGGTAGTGGAGTGGGTTGCCAATTCCTTCTCCAGCAAATCTTCCCAACCTAGGGATTGAACCCAGGTTTCCTGCATTGCAGGCAGATACTTTACCATCTGAGCGACCAGGGAAGCAAAGAAGAGACTGGCCCATACGGGGACTCATTTCATTCAATGAGAGCTTATAATTATGATTTCTTGTTTAACACCTGTTTCCCCCACTAGTCCTTGAGCTCCATAAACGCAAGGAACATGTCTACCTCTTATTAACTACCAAAATTGCTGTTTAGTCGCAAATTCATGTCCAACTCTTTGTGACCCCCTGGATTATAGCCTGCTGGACTCCCCTGTCCATGGGATTTCCCAGGCAAGAATATTGGAGTGGGTTGCCATTTTCTTCTCCGGGGAATCTTCCTGACCCAGGGATCAAATCCGCATCTCCTGCATTGGCAGGCAGATTCTTTAGCTACCAGAAACATCTTTCTAAAACATACATTAGCTCCTGTCATTCCTCTTTAAGAACAAAATATTCAAGACTTCCCTGGTGGTCCAATGGTTAAGAATCCACCTTCTAAGGCGGGTGTGTGTGTGGGGGGGTGGGGGACAGGAGTTCCATCCCTGGTTGAGGAATTAAGATCCCACATTCTGTGAAGCAGCTAAGCTCCTGTGTCACAACAAAGACTGCATGTAGCAACAAGACCCAATGCAGCCAAATAAGTAAATACTTTTTTTAAAAAAAGAACAAAAATTCTTCAGAACCAAGGTCAGATTCCTGAGGTTAGTCCTGACTCTTCCTTTCCAGCCAATGTCCCATCATTCCTCAGCTCCAGCATTCCATGTCATAGCTATAGTGGAAGAGTCACAGCCCCATATTATCAGCACACAAGCACCATATTATCAGACTTTTCAACCTGTTGACCTCTCTTCATATTGTCTCCTCTCCCCACACATCATTTTCTCATCTGGACAAATCTTATTCAGCCCTAGCTCTAAAGTCACTTACCCTGCAAAAGCCTGATCTTTTTCAGGCAGAGTCAACCCTTCCCTTTGTCTTCCACCCACAGGCCTTTCCCCAAGCAGTTTGCCAGGACTGTGCTTCTACCAAGGGAGTACAGTTACTCTTATATTTCCTATACTACCCTGGTTCCCCCACCCTATTCCAAAGGATCATTTTTATTAGGTCACTGCCCCTTTGAGGGTTGTACAGAGCTCCTAGCACAGAGTGGGCACTCAGAATGTCTGTTGCTTTGAATCGAGTAGGCACCTAACAGGATAAACAAGTAATAAACAATATATTTATTTTTTAAAAGACTCAACTTCCTTAGTAATTAGGGAAATACAAATTAAAGACTGTAAGTATAGTATGGTTCCAATTAACAACCATTAAACCAAGTAAAAATTAGATACCCAACGCTGGTCCAAGCTTTGGGAAACAGATATATTCACACCTGTCTAGGGGCCAGGTAATAATCCTTCTAGAGGCACACTTCAGTAACACTTGGCAAGAGCCAACTGGCTTTCTTTGACCCAATCTCTCATCTAGGAATTTAAAACCCAGTGAAATAGAATAAAAGAAAAAAAAATTCATATATACTAAAACACTTACATCATTGGGACTCAAAAAAACTGCAAACAGCTCCCTAATGAAAGCTTGAATTATTAAATACTAATATTATGAAACAGCTTGCCACTGCCAGAATATGGAGAAACACAAAA